GAGGGCTCAAACCCCGCCGACTCCTACCTCGGTGTTCCGCCACACGCCGCCTTTAATCATAATCCGCGGCATCTTGGCGGCGAAGGGAGGGGGGGATGAACCCCTGGAGCGAGAGAGCGGAGAGGGGACGGGAGCGCCGCTCGCCTCAGCGGGGCCGGCCGAGACTGCGCGCGGGCTCCCTCAGCAGCGGCGGGTGCCGAGGGCGAGGGAAGCGGATCCGGCTGCTCTGCCAGAAAAGCGGGAAGCGGGTCCGGCCTTTTTCCTAGGGAAGCGGGACCGGCGTCTTTTCCAAGGGAAATGAGGCCGCYGCTCCTCCCGGAAAGCGGAGTCTGGCTGCTCCGCGCATGCGCAGCCTCCCCCGCGTCCTGAGGAGGCGCTCCGCGCTAGCGCCACCTACCGGCCGGAGGAGCGCACGGCGCGGGGACCCGGCCGGCGGCGGGACGATAAACTGAGCTTTCATTAAAATCCTTCAATTTTCCCCAAGAGACGCAAATAAGGGAGGAAGGAGACAACGGAAGGRAATCACATTTCCGCACTGTTACGTTTACAGTGTATTTTGTTAACTTCAGGAGAAAAAAAGTGTGTTTATGTACTGAATATATTCTTGCGTGTGAGGGGGATGAGGCCCTGGCAGAAATTGCCCAGAGAAGCTGTGGCCACAGAGAAGTGTCCAAAGCCAGGCTGGACAGGGCTTGGAGCAACCTGGGATAGTGGAAGATGTCCCTGCCCATGGCAGGAGTGGAACGAGATGATCTTCAAGGTGCCAACACAAAACCATTCCGTGTTTCTACAAGACAGCAATATTAATAGTGAGTGTATTTGCATACTCGCACCACGCACACTAAAGGAAGGTGTACAAGGTACATAGGTGAATTCGGGAAATTTTCACCATCAAGTACTCATGTCAGATGCATTTTTGCAACTTCTCAACAGGTGAAGGGTTGAGTCTCGAGTGGGGATGTCAACTCAGGATCCATTATTGTAATCCAAGCATGATACCCAGAGTATATCCAACCTGGGAGTTGTGTGGCTCAGAGAGGCCCCGGGCAGAAGGAGGTGCTGCTCTCAGACTCCTGCAGTCCAGGACAGCTCAGAGGGTCTCAGTTCCACTGCTTAGAGTTGGACACACTTGGCTTTGCTCACAGCAATTTACCACCCTGGCCGCAATTCAGATCGTTAACTTCCTTTGAAAGTTCAAAACCGGAAACCTTCCACTGGGTGGTTATTCCCATAAGAAAAGATCTTAAAGCTGTTAAAAACCAGGGGCTCCTYAGCCAGCACAAGCTCCTGGGAGCAATGTTTCTGATAAGCTCAAGAGGAGCTCAGCCCAGCTCACCAAGACTGAAGCCCAATGAGCATTTCTGAGACCACAGTGCAGCTGTAACAGGAGGATGCACCACCACACCATACAAGTCTGATTCACTGCTATTCATTTATGTCACCTTCTGTTTAACTTTTATTCACTTATTTAACGGATGCACAGCAGGTGACACCCTTTTGCTCAATTTGTTTGTCCTCAAATTCAAGGTATGTTCGTGGAGAAAATGATGCAAACTTTTTTGGTTTAAATAGGTAACTTCATAGTATGAATWAGGAAAGGCTTTGATTTTTGTTTAAAGTATGCAGGAATTAAAAATATTACACTTTTAGCTGATAAAAAAAAGAAAAAATCTTAGCCCATATCTTATTTGAAACGGAATATGCCTCTACCTTTAAATTTCACTGACTTAGCAGACTGAGTATACCTCTGAAACCCCAAAAGTTCAGTGTAGTGCATAAGAAAGGACAGAGAGCAACATCAGGAGTCATTAAACTGTTTATTTTTATTAGAGGCAGTGCCAGGAATAATTATTTTTACAAAATCATTGAGGTCCAACTGAAATTACCTTCTTGTTCTTAATTCAAACTTGAAGAAACTTATATTTGCAAACTCTTTCAAAAAATGTACCGCAGTTAATTCACCTCCCTAAACCAGGCTCCCTTCATCATCACTGTACACCATACTTTTAAACAACTGCTCTTGATCAGATTTAGCCTTCCTAGTATCATTTGATATAGAGGCTTACAATTCACTCATCATTTTTGTTTCCTTTTTGTGCCTGTTCTTTTGAATTTTGTTCAAATAAAAGATCAGAATTATACGTAAGGCAGGTAAAAATTCCTCCAAGCTTAAGTACCCTTAGTATTTCCCAGAAATTCTTTTTTTTTCTTCATACAGCATAACATTCCTCTTTTTCACAATTGGATCCGGTGGCTCTGAATCACTCATCCGTAACCACCAGGGTTCAGACACAGATATTGACTTGTCTGACTTTACTGCAGCTGCGAAGAASTGGATCACTTGAATATCTTTGCTGATCTGGCTTTAAATACATGCATCTATCCATGAGTTTTAATCCACTCTTGGAAAATTGTGTTCCAAGTCACAGAATAGCTGCAATTCTGAAGACAAGCCCCTGCTCAGGCATGGCCACCCAGAGCTGATTGTCCAGGATCATATCTAGATGGCTTTTAAATATCCCCAAGGAGGAGCACTCCACTGCCTCTCTGAGCAGCTCTTTGCAGTCTGTCTCCTTCATTACCAGAAAGCCTCTACAAGACATTATCTGTATCTCTAAAGAAAAGCACACATCCAGGAGCAGTAAAAAACGCACTGCAAGTTCCACATTTACATTCTCTAAATTAAAGCACGGGTTTATTCTGCTGCTCCGTGGACGGAGCTGTAGCATAAGGGCAGAGTTTGCACCAATCGATTTCTGTTGTCTTTCCTCACACAAGGGGATAATACATTGTTATCAAAACCACTTATCACACTCATGAGTTCCTAGCACTGCCTAACTCTAAAACAAAGAAAGACTTCTCTAGATGGGAAGCAGCATCTACCTGGGTTCACCATACCCTGCACCAACTGCTACATAGTACAAGTGATTCTCACAGATGGTATTTTAGACTAACAGTGAAGCTCTTAAACAAAAATAAATTTAACAGATTTAGATACTGCTAAACTTTTCAATGTAACTAAATAACATTCACAATTATCAGCAGGTGCTCCTRTTAACAGAAGCTATTTGAAAAGTATACAATTTATTTTAACAAACACAGTAACTACCAACCTGAGAAAAGGTAAGGCATTTCAAACTAGATTAACATACTGGAAATTTACACAAAGTTGAAGATTTAAAGATTCTCAGTATCATAAAATATATGCTTCAGGACATTACCACTTGCCAAACTACTCAAAAAATTATCAAAACTACAGACAAGGTAATTGCTTAATAAACATCTTGTACATACAGACATATGGAAAACATTTTCATGTCACAATTACCCAGTGATAACATGCATATTTTGTTTCGTAATTTTGTGAGATACTATTTTTTGTTCTCTTACAAGTATCACAAAAGCACCTGGGAGTAAAGGAGGCAATTTTCAGCAGACAGGAGGTAGCATTAAGCCTCCAGATACACTGGTGTATTTCATATGAAAAGTTATTACTAYAAAATATAACATGCCCTTCCTTCCCTCCCTTTAAACATTCAGTTAGAAAAGTGAGGTTTTTTCTTATTACATTTTTACAAGAAAATAAGTGGTGCAGAATAACAGTTTGAACACAGATGACCACTAGCCAAATCCTAACTGACTTCTATTGAAGCAGTTACGCAGGGATGAAAAAGTGTCTCCATGATCTTCAGCACAGCCTGTGTTAGAACTGATGCTCTCAGAGAATCCTACAGCAAACCAGTACCCCAAGTTTCACCCTCTGGACCAAAATGCTGGAAGCATCCATTACCAGCCATCRTTCTGGGTACAGCAAAGGAATGCAAAGCCATGAAGAACTTCAGGACATACAAACCTCTCCACAACAAAGCGCCAACTTCCAATGCCCAACCTCACATTCCAAGCTTGTGCTGCCGCTTATGCTTCTCCAGCAGTTTTTTGGTGGGCAGCACCACGTTACACTTTGCACACTTGTGCTTCTTTTTGTGCGTTTTGATGTGCTTCTGGAAAGCGTCTTTATCCATCGTGGTATATTCACACCTCTGGCAGCACAGCCTCAGGTGCGTCAGCGAGTGGCGCTTGAGCTGGCTGGAGGTGCGGAAGGCCATGGAGCACTGCCCGCACGGGAACGGCTTCTCCCCCGTGTGGATCCTCAGGTGGAGCTTCAGGTTCCCGTTGCGGGTTGTGCAATAGCCACACTCCTCACACTTGTACACCTTGACAGGCAGCTCCTTGTGCTCAAAGAGGCAGCCAGCAGAGGAGCTTCCCTCCCCACTGTGCGAGGCCAGGTGCTGTTTCAAGGACACCCATTTGCTGGTAGAGAAGTCACAGCTCAAGCACTTGAATTGCTCCGTTTTYAAATGTGTGAGTCTGTGCCTTTTCAGGTGACTGGAAGTACGGAACTTCATCTGACAAACAGTGCACGTGTAGGGCTTCTCACCTGTGTGAGTTCTRATGTGGAGTTTCAGGTTGCTTAAAATGCCAGTAGCATAGCTGCACTCCACACACTGATAGCACTGTGGCTGACTTCGTGCTTGCACATGATTTGCTGTGCCACTCTGAACACCTCGCTGAACTCCACTGACTTCTGAACCAAGCATGCTGTTTGAATCTTCGCAAGAATCAAAATCCGTATCTGGATACATGCCTCTGTGGATTTCACGATGCACTTCAAGATTCTCTAAACACCTCTCTACAAAGAGGCAACTGCCAAACTCCTGTCCATTTTTCACATGAAGAAGGCTGTGTTCCTGCAAATGGTTTGATGTTTTAAATGCTTCATTGCACTCATTACACACAAATGGTCTTTCATTCGTATGTATCTTTAGGTGGAGCCTGAAGTTGTTAGGAACAGCAGTAACATAACTGCAGTGCTGGCATGTGTATGTTTGGAATGTATTTAAATTGGAAGGACACTTATCCACAAAGTTATGATACGAAGCATAGTCTTGCACTCGTGAATGAGAAGCCTCTGATTTGAAGAAAGGCTCCTCTTTGTAAGTGGCAGTGTCCATTTGGTGTGAAGTCTGAGGAACTTCTGATCTATTCCCAGGAACAACCAGGCTGTTGCTGCCATGACTATCTTCAGAAAATTTCTTTCCAGGGCGTATTTTCTTATTGTCCCACACATCACCTGCTTGCTCAAAACCTACTTCTGAAGCCAGGATTCCCCCACTGAGACAATCATTTTCTCTACTAAAAAGAGAGTGAGAAAGATGGCCCTGAGAATTACCATCAGCTTTGCGTATTTTGCTTTTACAGTGTTTATTGCTCTGACTTGTATAGCGATTAGCAGTCGCCTTTAACTGTTCATGAAATTTCTTGTGGAAGCTGAGATGYCCTTTAGTGTAGAACATAAGGTTACATTCATCACATGGATAGYTCTTTAGAAGTCTTTCAGTTCTCTTTCTCCCACTCAGGCAGTCAGGTTGCTGTCCTTGGCACGTTTCTGTTCCTACATGTATCCTCCTGTGCCTCTCCAACCCTGAGGTGCTGGTGAATGCTGCCTGGCAGAGCTCACAGGAATATGGTTTATCCCCTGCGTGGATGTGGCTGTGCCTCACCATGCTTGCAAAATACAATGAAAGAAAGGTGCAGAACCTGCACTGRTAGAGCTTATAGCCAGCATGCCAATACATGTGATTTAACAGGTAGGATAAGCTGCTGCAGGAGTAATCACACTGAGGGCATTGGTAAGGTGGTCTCCCCTTATGTCCCTTCATGTGATGAATAAAATTCCTAGGAYTTGATGAARCAAAGAAACAAATTCTGCAGGAGAAGTTAACTGGCACATCCAGAGGTGCAAAGTCCCTTTCAATTTTAATGAAAAATTTCTCATATTTACTTTCTTTTCTCATGGTCTCAGATTCGCCTTCTTCAGCTTCTTTCTGCCTCACTTTTCTTGCATTTATTCTTTTTTTTCTTGCCTTTTGCAACCTAGCAACCTTCTTATGAAATTTAAGGTGATTCTTAAGGTTGAAAGAAAAGAAAAAAGTTCTTTTACAAAAGCAGCAYTTATGTATTTTCTTATCTTTATGAGCTGAATAAATATGTTTCTTCAGGTGCGCATTGAATTTATACACAGAACTACAAAACCTGCATTTGAAACTCCATCTTTCATTCTCCTTGGTAGAACACGATGTTTTAGGAAGAGGTGTGATGGTCATACTATCATTCAGACATGTTAAACCTTCTTGCTGGTTCTGGAATTCTTCTGAGCTTTCACGAGAAGAAACAATTTTTTGTTGCAAAACTTTTTGKTTTTTCTTAGGGAATGGTGTTAACATCTTGTAAATATGCTCTCCGGTAGTATTTGATTCAGCAGAAGTGGAACCATTCATCTCAGATTTCCCTACATCTTCAAAAATCGGAGAMCATCCATTAAGAAATGGTTCAGAACAATCATAGGTAAATTTCTCCTCTTTCAAGCCATGTTCCAAAAGAGTTTCATCTTCAATTTTGATTATTCTCATGTTATCACTTTCATTATCTTCATTCTTTAAGGAATCAGGATCTACAAGGAGAAATAAAAAGTCACATTTCACACCATCACAAATATTCATGATTAACTGGTAGTAATAATCCCTAATTGCCTAATGCTTTACTTGATCTTCACTACTTCTGCTTCCTTTTATTCCCCTATCTCCACTTTTTTTCCCTAATGCTCCCATCTGCCCCAACATTTAAATGCTGTTCCTAGTTAGAAGCCTCCTTCTTTTCCACTTTCTATTTTCACACAAGGCTCTGAATTTCACAGGACAACACTGCATCTAGTGTTCATCAAAACAGCTTTACACCAGAATTCCTACCAAAGGACTGACACCAAATTTCACTAATGCTCCGCTCTCACAAATAAAATGCTTTTTCTGCGTTTTTATTTTGAAAACATTTCCCTGATGAAAGGCCATCCTTTCGCTCACTGCAGAAGAATGAAGAAGTACTAACTTCTAGTAGTTTCGCTACCTTTCACAGGAGTCTATGAAAGAACTGAGCATAGTCCCAACAATATTTTCTTTCTAMTGCATTTATTAATCTAATTTGAAATGCTTACTCTAAAAGTAATTGGTTTCACAGTGTTTCTATAAAATTTCTTGTTTCAAAACAAAAAGAGATTTCTCATACTCTTGCACTAATCTTATTAATGTTACCTTCAATTTTAACCATTATTATCTCCTTGTCGATTTCTGGTTGTTTCTGTGGACTGCCATCAAAAAGAAMACTTCCAACACTGACAGGTTCTTCTTCCTGTTTGGGTTCCGCTATCCACAGCCATGGTCTGCTTGTCTCAACAGTGTCAGCTCTGTCACTGTCAGCACTGGAGAGGAGAGGAGGCATCTTCTGAAAGCCATCATCACCACCACAATCTTCTCCATCACTGTATTTGATTATCTCTGGAGGCTCTGTTTTGCAAGACGATGTAGGTAACATGCAATTTTCTCCATATATGTTCGTGTCTGCATCACATCCATTGCTTAAAGGTAATTTTGATGTGTTACACACACTCTGAGCAAACCACTTATGTTCAAAATTATCTTCGTTTGAAACAGTCTTGTTTTCACCCCAATTGCTTACACTGCTACTGTCGTTTGAAGGCTCCCATTCATTTTTTACGCAAGGGCTGTTGCTTAATTTAAACTCCTGTTTCACCTCAGGCTCCCATTCATTTTTCACGCAAGGGCTGTTGCTTAATTCAAACTCCTGCTTTACCCCAGGAATGGACACTTTCTGTTCTTCAGCATCGCTTTGGAGAAAATCCTCATCGCTCAGCATGAGAACAGTGATGGGCAGCACAATCTCAAACACCTCCGTCTCTGCGGTAATAAACAGGACACAATTAACGCAATTCCCAAAAAAAAAAAAAAMCCCAACGCACGCGTCCACCATAATCCCCACTCAACCGCAGAGCGCATGCGCAGCTCCCGGCGGGCCCCGAGCCACGCCGCGCTCTCCCCGTCCCCGCTCTCCGCGGGCACTCGGGCACCTCCGCTCCCGCAGGAGTGGCGCCGGGTCCCTGCCGAGGGCAGCGAGCACTCACCGCTGTCTCCGGCCGGCTGCGGGATGCCCTCCCCGGCCGGCTGCGGCATTCCCGCCTCGCTCGGCATCTCCCGGCCGGGCCAGCCCAGCCCCACACGCGTGCGCAGCGGGGCGGGGCTGCGAGCGCCTCCTGCTTTGAGGGAGCGGCGGGGGCGGGGCTGAGGCGGGGCTGAGGCGGGGCTGAAGCGGGGCTGAGGCGGGGCTGAGGCGGGGCTGAGGCGGGGCCGAGGCGTTGGGCGGGCGCCGCGCTCTGGGGCTTTCAAACAGCGGTTAAACCTCAGTATCAAACGTCCTTTGAAAGTGTTAGGAAAATTAATCCACAAGCACCAGAGGTTTATGTCCAAAAAGGAGACAGAGGAGTCCCGCAACTTTATTCATGAATAAAGCGAGAGGTCATGGGCATTTCCCATGGGGTCTCTCAAATTCA